CCAGGCTAGGAGGAGAGACGGGTAGGGTAGATGGGAGGGTGACTTACCCCAGAGAGAGGCCTGAGGGTAGGAGAGAGGCCTGTGGGTCGTGCAGGTCCAGGGAAGCAGAGGGTGGTGATGGTTTTTTTTTTTCTTTTTATTGAAATTTATTAACAGCCTGTATAAACAAAAACAAAGTTGATTTTTCAGCTTAGGTGCCTTTGTATTCTTGAGGAAATTCATAAAATTAGAAAGTTAAGAAACAATATATAGAATAAAGCTAAGGTCACTGAAATATAGAAATGTTTTAAATAAATTCCCATTCAAGATTGAACTCATCATAGTGAAGTGTATGACTTTATATCCTAATTTTTTATTTCTTCTGTCTAAACATACCTCTAAATGTTGTGGGGTTTATTTTGTTTATTTCCCCACTTGCTGAAAACATTATTTAGCTCATGATGAATCTTTTAGTTGGCATTTTAACCCTGGGGAAATATGATAAATACATAGAATAATCAGAGACAGCTGGAGATTATTTTTTAATGGGAAGGAATGACTAATGGGAAAAAAATGCAGGTCGTCTACTAAGGGGTGGAGGAACTTGGAGATGTCAGTGTTGCTCAGACATTACTGGCTATTGGCTTGCTGTGGACTTGAGAGTCCCTTGAGTTTTGTCATTGGTTTTGGAGACCAAATTGGGCAGTGTTACATGGTACTGTCACAAAAACTACATGACACAGAGTTGAGTGCAGAGTTCAGGAGTGTCTTCTGGCTTCTGTGCCTTTCTGGGCAGGGTGATGAGGCCCAGGACCGTCTCCCTGGGATGGAGATGATTGAGAAGGCTCAGAGTCCCAGAACAGAAGTCAGAGGTCCTCTTCAGGTAGAGATTGCTTGAGGCGTTAGATGCTTTAGTCTACCTCTCTCCTACTGCCCACCTTAGAGATGGACACCTGCTTTCCCTTTCCCACATGCCAACTAGAAGGCTCAGACTGCAGGAGTGAGAACCCCCCAACCAAACACACACCCACAAAGAGCAGGAGGGACTATGGGTGGGGAGGGGCAGCTGCTGTTCTTGGCAACAGGATAGGCTTCACCAGGGCTGGGGTAGGAGGACACTGGCCAGCTGGCCTGATCTATCCCTGTCCTGCCCTTGTTAAACCTAGGGCTTAACCTGGACTTCCTCATTCTCTGCCTTACTCAATTTCAAACCAGTTTGAGTGTAGCCAATTCCGGCCCCTCAGCCCTTCTGTTTTTCCCACAATTCCTCCCACAGCCAGACAACTATCTAGGAATTTCCTTAGCACTGATGCCAAGCAGGACTTGGGGAGCCTGGGAAGGATGAAGCTTTAATGCTAGGCTAAGGGGCTTGAGTTTTACATGTATGCAGAGGAAGGCTCCCCATCTCATCTGAGGTAATACCAGCTGGGAACGTCTGGAAGGCTTTGCTTTGTGGACGGAGTTGATCTTTTTCTGTATGACTGCACTGTCCACAGGGAAGCCACAAACCACAAACCAGACCAGATGAAAAATGCACCAGATGTAGAGACTTAGGTATGGAAACAGAATGTAACATATCGCAAAAGTTTTTATATTGGATGCATGTTAAAATAGAATTTTAGATATACTGTTATATGACATTATTAAAATTAATTTTACCTGACTTGAAAATTTTAAATTGCCTGTGTATGGCTCATATAGCTCTACTGGGAAGAACTGGCTGAGTCTCACCAGTATCTTTTTTAAAATAATTATTTTTATTTATTTATTTTCATATTATGTGCATGAATTTCTCATCTGCATGCATGCATGTGTGTGTGTACAGTCTCTGCAGAGACCAGAAGAGGGTGTCAGATCCCCTGTAACTGGAGTTACAGAAGATTTTTAGGTGCCATGTGGGTGCTGGAAACTAAACCTGGGCCCTCCACAAGAATAGCCATTGATCTTACCTGCTGAGCCATCTCTCCAGTTCCCCCCCCCTTTCTTTTTTTAGTCCCCCTCCACCTCCTTTTCTGCGGGGAAGTCTGGTCTGTCTTCTGCTTCTTTATCTTCCCTGAGCAGGCTCCTCCTTCTTGTCTTTTTTCTCTCTGCCTTGTTCTCTCCTCCTCTTTTTACTGTCAAATGTGGTGGTAGACGGTGGCATCATCATGGTCCCTGTGGCCTTAAGGCTTTCTCTCCTAATAAAGCTCATTCTGAGGGATAATATCAAACCTGCTACTTTTTCTTTTTAATTTCTAACAGAGGGGCTGGAGAGGTGGCTCTCTGGTTAAGAGTGCTTACTGTTCTTGCAGAGGACCTGAGTTCATTTCCTAGTACCCACATGGCAGCTCACAACTGTCTGTGACTCTAAGTCCAGGGGATCTGATGCCCTCTTCTGGCCTCCATGGGCACCAGGTATGCACAGGGTGCACATACATGCATGCAGGCAAAACACTCATACACATAAAATAAAAACAATTTTTAATTTCTAACAGAGGTCAACCTGGGCTACAAGAGATATCTCAAAAAAAAAAAAACAAAAAAACAAAAACAAAAAAAACCCAAAACAAAAAAACTGAAACAGCTTTTTCTATCCTCACAGTTGATTAATGGTTTGGTTAGTTATAGAATTCCAGATTGAAAATCCACCCTCCACCCCAGAACTTGGAAGGTACTTGCTCTATAATTTTTAAGCTCTTAATGTCATTTTGAAAATATATTTTCTATTCCAATTTCTGAGTGTTTGTATAGGATCTGTATGCTTTCTTTCTGGAGGGTTCTAGAATCATCCCTTTGCCTTTGTTAATTGTACATTTCACTACATGATGTCTTGGTGTGGGGTTCTTACCCACATCTATATTCTTGGCCACTGAGACCGCCTTTTCTATCTGGGAAAACAGACCTTCAGTTCTGGGAAATACTTTCTGAAAAATTTCCCATAAATTTCTCCTCAGGATTTCTTGCATTTTTGTTCTCTCCTACAATTCAGAGTCTTCCTGCCAACCTTGCCTCATTCTGTTTCCTGGAAAGTGCCCCCAGCCTTAGCTCCAGCCCTCCTGCTAAATTTCAGATTTTACCTTGTACAATGTTAATTTCCAGGAGCTGTCTTTCTTCCTTCCTCGTTGTTACTTTTAAGAGAGATTCTTGTTGTTTCATGGTTCCAACATCTCATGTCTCTGAGGATACTGGAAATTTTTTTCCTCTAGTCCTTGCATTATTTCTGTTCCTTTTAATTCACTTTTTCTCACAAAATTTGCTCTCTCTCTCTCTCTCTCTCTCTCTCTCTCTCTCTCTCTCTCTCTCTTTTACTTTGTAGCTTTTCTCAAGGGAATGGTCACCCTTTGGGTGCCTGATCACAGCAAAGAGTAGACCACTAAAAGCTCTATAGAGGCTCTGTGTGTATATGTTAAGAAATGACTTTTCAGCTTGAGGGCTTCAAGTGTACTGTGGCTGGTGAGGACCTAGACATTTTATTGGGGTTTCTGAATCAGAAGCATCTATAGAGTTCTTCTGGGATGAATGGTTTTCTTAAGAGAAGCACCCCATGCCTGTTTCCAGCCCAGTTAGTGCACTTGTGGAGAGTGCAGAGAGCTGATACACACACAATGACAGAGGTTTTAAGAGTAAAGTAGAAGGTAAGGTTCTAAAGTTCCATAAGCTTTGGAATAGACTTTCATCTGATCCTGTTTCACACTGTCTGTGCCCCTGCCCTCTGCGGCCTAGTGTCACTCACTTTCCAAGCATTGGGATGTTTCTGGGAAGATGGTCACTTCCCTGCATGGGATGAGAAAAGGGAGAAACCATGAGTATAGGGTATAACTGCCCAGTGGGCAGACCTATTCATCAGTCTACTTTTGCTTAGCTCCATGCTCTCTTCCCTCTTCCAAAGTAGCTACTGCTTCTTATTCCTGATCCCTCCAGCCTCACATGGCATGATCTGTCCGTTGCTTATTGACTGCCTCTTTGGTAGGTGCTGGGATGGACTTCCAACTTGTCAGCTTTGCCAATTCCTCCATCTACTTTCCAACCTCTGTTGACATCTGTTGCCTGCTGGTGTCACCTCTCCTGTCCTCTGTTCCTGTCTTCCTTCTTCTTGTCTTATTTTAGAGGGGTTTTGGAAGAGGCAGAGGTGTGTTGAATATACCAGGTTAACAGGAATTTCTCCAAGGATCTTTCCTCAGTGCCAAGCCTACTTCCTACCTCATAAGAGGTCTCCTCCAATGCGGGAGCTGTATCCTCCATCCTGGGGCACTTGAAAAACTTCTTTGTCAAGTTCAGTTCTACTCACAAAATACTGGAGCCTAAGCTAAAGTAGCTGAGGTCCAGCATATACCTGGATTTGTTTGCTTTTAAATAAATTCTCATCTTATAATAATTTGCTTTAATTATTTTTTGTTTGTTTGCTTTTGTAACATGGTTTTACCATGTAGCTCTGGCTAGCCTGGAATTGGCTATGTAGTTCAGGCTGGCCTTGAACTCACAGAGATCTACCTGCCTCTGCCTCCCACTGGGATTACAGTCTGGTGCCACCATGCCTGGTTTGATTGGTATTTAAATAAGTTATTTTGTGTGATTCTTCCCCCGCCTTCCACAACCCCCCTCCCAACACACTTAGAAAAACACCCTGCAAAACTTCTAGATGCTTGTACTCCAGAATAGGACTTCCTCCTTATAGTTCAGAGCTTGGCTAGGCTGCCCTAAATCTCTATATGGCACATATGAAATTGTATGGGAGGAATCTAATTCAAGAAAGCCAAGCTGGCTTTAGGGGCTTTTAAACCCCTTTAGCAAGTATGTTAATTATAAAAAGACTGCTTATCTGTACCTTAAAGCAAACACTCTTTCCTTGCCCACGTATATAGAAACTTTACACGGGAGCATTAAAAATGGTAACCGACACACACTGAAGTGGCAGATTTGCTGTGTTGTAAGGAGGGTCTTGATTTTCACCAGCTCGAGGGTGCCCCTGGGTGGTGCCCGGATGAGGTGTGAGGGCCCTGCGCTGGTTCTCACGGAGACTTGTGTGTCTTTTGCCTCTACAGGTGCCCCCTTTCAAAGGTCTCAGCATCCTCACGCTACCTCCTGCCGCCACTTCCACCTGGGCCCCCCGCAGCCGCAGCAGCTCACCCCGGACTTCCCGCTGGCCCACCCCGTGCAGTCGCAGCCGGGCCTCAGCGCCCACATGGCCCCGGCCCACCAGCACAGCGGCGCGCTGCATCAGTCGCTGACCCCGCTGCCTACCCTGCAGTTCCAGGACGTCACAGGTCCCTCCTTCCTACCTCAGGCCCTGCACCAGCAATACCTCCTGCAGCAGCAGCTCCTGGAAGCTCAGCACCGCAGGCTCGTCTCGCATCCCAGGTCTGCATGGGCGGTGGAGGAGGGGGTGGGGGTGTGGGTTTCGCCAGACAGAGGGCACCCGCAGGGAGGGCCAAGGGCTGCTGGGCCTGTGCCTCTACTAGTCAAGCTTGGGAGCAGTCACAGAGTGTCTCAGGAGGTTAGAACGCAGTATGACCCCTCCCATCACCCAGGTGCAGGGTCAGGGGACTGGGTTAACTCGTGGTGTTTGTTCACTGTGGACTTCTGCAGGGTGGGAAGTTTGCCTAGCGGGACTCCCAAGTCCCCTCCAACCCCCATGGCGGTTTGATTCTGATTTTCCCCCAACCACACAGAATACCAGAGGAAATGGTTGATTCCAGCCAGCTCTGCCCTCCAAGAAGCCAAGGTCTAGTTGGGGACTACAGTTAAAGACTCTGGTTGTACAGCCATGGAACAGAGAGTAAAATTAGTACTCATCAAATAGCTCAGTGTGGCGAGTCACTAGGCTTCCCTGAGCCTCAAATGCCAAGGGAAAAGAATTGGATGAACAGGATGAGGGGATGGTTCTCAGTCTTTTGGGTTTCAAAACTCTTTCTACAGTCACAAAAATTAATGACTACAGGGGGCTGGAAAGATGGTTTAGCAGTTAAGAACACTTGCTGTTCTTCCAGAGGACCCTGGTTTGATTCCCAGCACCCACATGGCAGGTATGCTAATAACCAACAGTAACTCGAGTTCCAGGGGATTGGACACCAGAACTGACACCCTCTTCTGGCCTCTTTGGGTATTACATACATGTGGTACACTTATATACATGCAGGCAAAACACTCATACACCTAAAATAAAAATAATAAATAAAATATTTTTTAAAATTAATGACTGCAGAAAGCTTCTGCTTATAAAGGTTAGGTCATTGATGTTTAGCACAATGGAAATTTTAAAGTATTTATTAATTCATTAAAAATAAACTCCTATGCTAAACCTATAATATGTTCTTATAAAAATTAGTGAGAAGAGCCACTTGTACAAATATATTTGCAAGTCTCTTTAACGCAGAAGATTCCTGTTTCTTCCTGTCTGTGTCTGTACTAAATCTTGCAGAATCCTGTGTTATGAAGTTTCTGGAAAATTCCACTATTTGCCAGCAAGAGAATAAAGAGTGAAAAGGAAAATACATTTTTTCCTCTTGAACTACCTGAAAGGGTTTCAGGGAATCATAAGGGTGTTTGGAGCACTTTGAGAACTACTGGACTGATAGGTATCAGTGGCTAGAGGGATGGAGTCAGCAGAGCAGGGGAGTGTTGTAGGGAGTCAAGGAGAGAAGTCATTTTGGTTTGGTGTGTTCAGGGAGGCCTTGCTGGAGAAGGCAAGCTCTCACCTGGGCCTTGAAAACTGATAAGTGTGTGGAGAAAGGTGGCGGAGAGAAGAGAGTGGTGCTGTGGATGAGTGCATGCAGGGGGCTGGATTCTGCTCACCTGGGAAATTCTTTGAGTTTGGGAACTACTATCTCTATGAGTAGCAGAGTAAGGCATTCCAGGTTGGTGGAAAAGGTATCACTCAGAGCTCCTGGGAGCTTGGCTGGCCCAGGTAGCCCCTGATGCCATGGTCCTTCTTCTTTTCCATACAGGCGGAGTCAGGAGCGAGTGTCTGTCCACCCCCATCGCCTCCACCCCAGCTTTGACTTTGGCCACCAACTGCAGACACCTCAGCCCAGGTATTTGGCTGAAGGCACTGACTGGTGAGTCTCCAGATGCTGGGGAGGGCAGGGGGAAGGGCGGTCATGCCAGAACCATGGAGTTTCTATTTTGCACCACTTTGAACGATGCAGAATGCTAGCCTGGGTGTCTATTCCAGACCATCTACAGGGCCAGATGGCCCCACCCAGGCCTGGTTCCAGCAATTAGTTCAGTATAACTGGGTAGCATTCTGTGCTCAGTCTGGAGCTTGGTTTTCATGATCCTTCCAGAAAGGAGGAGATAGCCTGCAAAGCATTTCCTAAGTTCAGTACAGCTATGAATCAGTGGGCATTGGAAGAAAGTTGCAGAGAATTCAGAGGAGCTAAGTGGTCAGGGAAGGCTTCCTAGAGGGAGTGATCTTGCAGGTTTCACAGAGAAATGCTAGAGCATGTCAGAAGGGCATTACAGGGAGCCAGCCCTGGGGCCAGATTAGAGGTAAGGACCATAGAGGGAGCTAAGGAGAGAGGTGTGTGCTGTGTCACAGAGGGAGGTGGCCCCTGGGCAGTTTTCTCACATCCTGTACTAGAGACAAACATGCTGCCCTGGCATGCAGGGAGTTGCATTCACCTCTTTAGTTGTAGCTCAGGGAACGGCTGATCTTAACTAAGATCAGATCATAACTCTCAGATACTTTACAAAGAGGTACAAACCACCGAGTATTTAGCGGTAAAGGACCACGTGCCTACAATGGATTTCTAAGCAGTTGTTGCTAAAATTCTTCCCTCCAGGAGATGTGAACAGTGTCCACCCCCTCCCTCCAAGGTCCTAATGACAAACCAAAGTTGGAGTCTACCAAAGTTTCTCCTGGGGAATCAATGAGTTTATCGGCCTTACTCACAGAGCATTGGTGACCCCAAAACAGCTACATTGGAAGGTCTTTACCCAGCATGGTTGATGGCTTCCCCATAGCCACATAGTCTTCCCCAGCCTAAATACTTTAGCCTCTCCCTTAGACCCTGAGGCCACATGCATTAAGGGCAAAATTGCATACAAAGGACTCTGAAGAGTGACTGGGCATTCAGGTGAGGGTCCAGGGACCCTACTACCTCCTTCTCTGAGGACATGTCAACAATCCACAGGTAGACCCTGATTGACCCTTGCAAGCAGGCACAGATGATCTCATAAACATGGTGGCAGTTTTGTTCTGAGGATAATTTGTGCAACAGCAGTTCAAGCCAGTTGTGGTGGTGCTCACCTATAAATCTCAGGCCTCGAGAGGCAGAGGCAGGTGGATCTCTGTGCATTTGAGGCCAGCCTGGTCTACATAGGAAGTTTTGGGCCAGCCAGGGTTACTTAGTGAGACCCTGTCTCAAAAACAAAACAAAACAGCAGTTCAGTAAAATATTTCTCAGTGTAAAGAGATGTGTGTTTGTATATATATA